TTTTCTGTTATTTGACTGTGGAAATATTGCATTTTGTTGTTATTCTCATGTATAACTTCTTCTCACTGTAGAGTCAAAACCACTGTAATTTTTTGAAACCTGTCCTTTTTTTTCTAACTTATTTTATTCTCTGTTCCTCACTGTAAGTCCTATGAAAACTGCAGTATTTTCTTGAAATCCACCTAGCTTTTATTTTCCCGTTGTTTTAAAAATCGGCCTCTGTTTTCAATTTTTAAATTTCTACTTTCTCACTGTACCTTGAATGGAAAGTTGCTTTTTTTATTATTTTTTGTGCTTATTTTTTACTTAATTTTGTGTTCCTTGTTGTGATTTTATGGAACCCATTGCAATCTAAAAAATTGGCCTCTTTTTTCCTCCTTTATCATTGTTTTTCTCTTCCATATCTTAGCTGTTATGGAGAGTTGAAATTACTCTATTTTGCGAAAATTTCCTTGTTCATTTTTCAAACATCTATGAGTTTATTTATTCATAAAAAAATTGTTTTTAAATGGTGCTTATCATGAAAAATGCTGTATTTGTACGGATGGGTTTTTATATGAAATACTTAGCTGCTTTTTGTGTATCCTTTTATTTTTCCGTATTCACTTTTTTCAAGAGTATATTCATGTGTATTTATTTTATTGTCTGTGATTTTTACCTTTTTGAGTGTATTTTAGATGAATCCTTGTATCTAAATTGTCATGTTACTTTGCATTGTTTTTTGGTGTTGTTTTCATGGAGAAAATGCATATTTTACTCAATAGGGCACGTTTGGCTCGCATGATAATGATTTTTTAGAAAATAAGTAACTTCTTACGTTTGGTTCGTAGAAAGATTCAGAAATATTTTTACTTCCGAAATTAGTTTCCATAAAAAGCGTCCAAAATCTATGAAATTGGAATCATAACCACATAGGTATGATTCCAATTTTTTTCAAAATAATCAGGTTGGGGATGTAAGTAGGGCTGCCACTAGGGCGGGCCAGAAAAGCCCGTAAATACCGTGGCCAGTCTTGGCCCGAAAAGAATCTATTGGGCCTGGCCCTTGCCTTTACACAGCCTATTAAGAAGTCCATTTTTTATTCTACAATTTTTTTTTTTTTATTGTTCATTTTTTCTTGTTTGTAGTACGCTTAAAAAAACATATGCTAAAATAATTTTTATTTTATTTTTTAAAAAGAATGGGCTTCTAGTGACAAAGAAAAATTGCATTTTTAGAGAGAGAAAAAGAGAATGGGTTTTTGTAAAGAAAAAGAGAGAATATGGACATAGAGAGAGAGAGATTGGGTTTATAGAGAGAGAGAGATTGGGTTTATAGAGAGAGAAATATATTGGATTTATAGGGAGAGAAATAAAGATTGGGTTTTTAGAGAAAAATAGTGATTAAGATTCTAGAGAGAGAATGGTTTTTTAGACAGAGCAAGAGAGATTGGGTTTTTAGAGAGAGAATGAATTTTCAGATAAATAGAGACCGGTTTTATAGAGAGAATAGATTTTTAGAGAGATTCGGTTTCTAGAGAGAGATTTGGTTTTTAGAGAGAGAAAAAGAGATTGAGTTTTTAGAGAGTGAAAGAGAGATTTGGTTTCTAGAGATAATGAGAATGGATTTTTAGAGAGAAAAAGATATTGAGCTTTTAGAGAGAGAGGTTAGGCTTTTAGAAAGAGAAAGAGAGATTAGGTTTATGGAGAAAGAGAGAGATTGGGTTTTTAGAAGAATATAATGTATTTTTAGAAAGAGAAATATAAGAGAAAATAGGTTTTTAGAGAGAGAGAATGAGTGGGTTTTTAGAAAGAGAGAATAGGTTTTTAAAGAGTGAAAGAGAGATTGGGTTTCTAGAGAGCCAGGTATCTAGAGAGAATGGGTTTTTAGATAGAGATTTTGTTTTTAGTGAGAATGAGATTTTAGAGAGAGAAAGATAGATTGGGTTTTTAGAGAGAAAAGATGATGGGTTTTTAGAAAGAGAAAGAAATTGGGTTTTTTAAGAGAGAAAGAGAGAATTGGTTTTTAGAAAGAGAAAAGAGATTGGGTTTTTAGAGAGAGAATGAGCTTTTAGTGAAAGAAATACATTGAGTTTTTAGAGAGAGATTGGATTTCAAAGAGAATGGGTTTTAGAGAGATTAGATTTTTAGAGAGAGATAATTGGCGTTTAGTGAAAAAAAGAGGGATTGGGTTTCTAGATAGAGAATGGATTTTAAATTTTTTTTTAAAAATATTTTAGCATCTATTTATTTTTGCTTTTCTTTGGCTTATTACAAACAAGAAAAGTTTGAAGAGTGAAGATCTAAAAAAAAAATGCTTCTAAATAGGCCGGGCCGGGCTTTTATTTGGGTCATGCCTTATCGGGTAGTGTCAAAATATTTTCTGGCTTACCGGGTCAATCCGGCCCTATAGCAAGTTTTTTGGGCCAGTTAGCCTTGGCTCGGCAAATAGTGTCTTTCTTGTGGTCAAGGCCTAGCCTGGCCCGAACCATTGGCAGCCCTAGCTGTAAGTCATTCGCACTGTTGGAAAGAACCGGGCGAACTAACCGCTAATTGCCCGGTTAGATCAGAAGCGACTAGTCCGGTTTTTGGCGGTTTTGGTGATAAATTAGTATTTTTTAAAAAAAAGTATATAAATTCTTAAAAATAAGGAATTTGATTTGTAATGTATTTTTTAATTTTTGTACATTATGGTAAAGATTAAAAATTGTTGGGTCATTAATACTCACTTTTATATTTTCTCGTATTTTTTAGAAAAATTTTAAAATACCCTTAGGTACAAATCCATTTGTTTCATTAAATTTCAAAGTAATTTGAATGTGTTTTATTTTAATCATTCTTTATATGTTTTTCATATTTTAGTAGATTTTTTTGTATCTTTTTTATTTTTTTATAAACTTTTTTGACCATCTGGGACTTGCCCGGTTAGAAGGGTTGCATCGGTCGGTTTATCGGTTAGGGCTAGTTAAACTGTTTTTGGGCCCATTTCTGGTTAACTGTTCCGGTTCGATTTTGCGAACACTGGTCATTTGCCTCTCACGCTCTCTCTTCTCCCCACTCTCTCTCTCTCTCTTCCTACACACTCTCTCTCTATCTCTCTCTCTTCATGCCTTCTCTCTTTTGCCCTCTCCCCTCTCCCCACCCCCCAACCCCCTCTCTTTCTAGGTTTCTTCGAGTCATAGGCCTCTCCCCACTCTGACTTTCTCGAGGTGGAGCTTACCAGAAGAAAGAAAACAATTTCATAGGAAATCTAGACAATAGTACCAAACATGAGAAAAAAAAAAAGAAAAGTGAAATCTAAATCTAAGAAATCTATTTCTTAGGAAATTACTTTACTATGGGAAAACTATTTCACGCGAACCAAATATGCACATAATATGTTTTGCTTTAAAAGTGTTTTGCAGTAGTTTTCTTCATTTTCTCTTGCTTTTTTTTTTTTTAAAAAAAAAATCATACTTTTTTGTTAACTAAATGAAGCATCCATAACTGCATCTATTTTCTCATGCATCTTCACTACTGCTAATGGTTTGCAAATTGCTGCATCCTGTTTATCTTTTTTCTTTTTTCCCTTAGTGTGGTGATGTAGGCGTCATGGAAAGCTTTAATAATCTATCTGTATTGATATTTTTCGCTACATTCCACTTTTTTAAAAAATAAATTTCTAGTGCGTATTTTCAATTTTATTCAAGTCCATTATATGTAAAAGAAAATGTTTTGTTTGGAACTTTTGTTTTCGTGTGCTTTACTGTAGGTTCAGTTAAAAGTACTTGCCATTCCTTTAATGCTTTTACAGATTTTCATTTCCTTTTTTATTCTAGGATCTATCATGTTTCCTTTATGATGTGGTTGAATTGGTTTTCTCTAACCTTTATGCTGTGAGTTATCCATGTAATCTATGGCTTAATCTAGTTATTTCCTTATTGTGGTGTCTCTTTTAGCTTTTTGACTGAAATGCTTATGACTGTATCTTGTATAACATGTCTTTTTTTGGTCAGCTTTAGAGCGTCTGGCATGAAATACAATGCATGTCAGCTTTTTTGAGTTTTTTTTTTATATTGTTAGCATTGCATTGATAAAGAGGAAGATTAAATATGTTCCCCCGGGGCAATACAAATCACTGATACAGGCAACGAAAAAAGGAAAACTACAATGTAGGGTTCGATCTTGGGACACGTTGGAGCTAAACCGTAGGAGCTGCCATTGTGTCGTGAGAATCAGCAGTTTTTTTTTCTTTTTTATTGTGCAATTTGGTTCTTCTTCTAATAAATAAAGTAAAATACCGCACTATCGTTTGGAAAGTGGCTGCTTTTTGGGTTGCTTTATTCTAGACATCATCAAACGTATTGGATTCCATTAAAAATTATCATATATATGAAGATATGTGCTTTATTCCTTGAAAAAAGAAGAAGTGTATTTTGTTTAGTTGAAATTTGTCATTGGTAAAATTTTTTTGTTGATTCTTTCAGCTCATCCCCTTTCCAATCCTTTTTCTGTTCTAACTGTGTATTTGATTTCCATCTCTTATGCTGATGATTTCTCTTTTTGTGTGGTACAAGTTGTCCAGTATTCAAACCTTTTTCTTTTATCTTCTGAACGGTTGTACAGTAGTATAATGCAATTGCATTCAAAGACCATGTTGGAAACATTTGTTTGACACGAATCTTTAAGTATACACTCTTTTGATTCTAACGAACAATCACAAACGAAAAGAAAATTTGAAAAAATGCCTTACAAATAGTTTTTTCAGCCCAATTAATACAAGCCGTCCATTTTAGTGAAAACGTTAGATATAGTCCTCAAAAGGATTTTTTTATTTCCAAAATTTTTATATAGCGTCATCATCATTAGATTAGCAATGCTAAAAAAGAAAAAGTGATTTTAACTTTATCAAGGCCTAGATTTTGAAATTCACTAAATGGACGGTCGAGATTCATTGTTGGAGTGTCCTAATTTTGATTTTGAATTTTTTTTTTTTCCATAGGATTTGATTATGAGGATGAAGAGAATGTGTGGACAAAAATTTAAGGTCATACAAATGCCAAAAACATGATTTTCTAGAAGTGTGGTTGCGTCGTAGTATGATACAACCGTGGCATCATATCATTGCGCTAATTTTTGATGGATATTACTAGGAAAGTGCCAGATTCGGTTGACCTTTGGTCTGTATTTGTAGTGGTTTGCAGCTTTTTATTTTGTAGTATCTATCAGTAAATGTGGTAGCTAAGGTACTTGCTGGCATATTTTAATGCCCCATGCCCTATTAGGAGTTTTTCCCAATTAGGAGTCCGAGGGGAAAAACATTCACGGTCCATGCCAGCAGACAAAAAGGTGTATGATGGGAAGTGATCCTCTTTATCATCTGGAGCATAAGTTCCTCTTTATCATCTGCAGCATAAGTTCTTTCTCCTTGTGTGATGTGTAGGAATGTACAGTGGAAATTATGTTTCTTTTTTTGAGAATTATAATCTAAGTTATGTTGGAAATTTGGTTATTGGGTCCTGCTTGTAGCTTCATCTCTATCGTGAAATTTTTGGTGGTATTTTGATAATAGGTATCACATAATCTCTGCAAATGGTTTTTCCTCGATCCTTCTTTCTTCTAAGATCCCTTAATTTTTAAGTGCATTCATAAAATTTAATAAAACCGAAATATTCTTGTTGATTCCATATTAGTTATTTCTTGACCTGCACATATTTCTCTATACAGCTGCTTGATCGAGGACCATGTCAGACCTAGAGAAGCCCCTCCGGCCAAGAAGGAAGAAGATTTGGGTGGACTACTTTGTCCAGTTTCGCTGGATCATCGTCATCTTTGTGGTCCTACCCCTTTCGTTCGCTTTCTACTTCCTCCACTATCTTGGTGACATGAGATCTGAGAGAAAGTCCTTCGAGCGCCGGCAAAAGGCACATGATGAGAATGTTAAGAAGGTTGTTAACCGTCTAAAACAAAGAAACCCTTCAAAGGATGGCCTTGTTTGCACGGCTAGAAAACCTTGGATTGCTGTGGGAATGAGAAATGTTGATTACAAGCACGCTAGACACTTTGAAGTCGACCTCTCAGAGTTCAGGAACATTCTCGAGATAGATAAAGAAAGAATGGTGGCAAGAGTCGAACCCTTGGTCGATATGGGCCAAATTAGTAGGGTTACAGTGCCCATGAATCTTTCTCTAGCTGTAGTCGCAGAGCTCGACGATCTCACTGTTGGGGGTCTCATAAATGGCTATGGAATTGAAGGAAGCTCCCACCTCTATGGCCTTTTCTCCGATACTGTTGTTGCCCTTGAACTGGTACTTGCTGATGGGCGATTGATCAGGGCCACAAAGGATAATGAATACTCTGATCTCTTCTATGCTGTCCCATGGTCACAGGGCACATTGGGACTTCTTGTTGCCGCTGAAATCAAGCTTATTCACGTTAAAGAGTACATGAAGCTCACTTATACCCCAGTTGTTGGAAATTTGAAGGACATTGCGCAAGCTTATATGGATTCTTTTGCTCCAAGAGATGGTGACCAAGATAACCATGCAAAGGTCCCGGACTTCGTTGAAACCATGATCTATACACCCACTGAAGCAGTTTGTATGGCTGGAAGATATGCTTCAAAGGAAGAAGCCGAGAAGAAAGGGAATGTGATCAACAGTGTGGGGTGGTGGTTTAAGCCGTGGTTTTATCAGCATGCTGAGACTGCACTTAACAGGGGCGAGTTTGTGGAGTATATTCCTACCAGGGAGTATTATCACAGGCATACCAGGTGCTTATATTGGGAGGGCAAGTTGATTCTTCCATTCGCCGATCAATGGTGGTTCAGGTGGACTCTAGGTTGGTTGATGCCCCCAAAGGTTTCATTCCTTAAGGCTACTCAGGGTGAAGCTATCAGGAACTATTATCATGAGATGCATGTGATCCAAGATATGCTGGTTCCTCTCTACAAAGTCGGGGATGCTCTTGAGTTCGTTCATAAAGAGATGGAGGTATGCTTTTCTTCTTAGTCACTTCTATAAGTCCTTGTGGTTTAAATTGTTTGGGGGACCTCTCTCTCTCTCTCTCCTCCATGGAGTTTATTATATATTTCAATTTTTGTTGGCTTTTGTTTTTTTGTAGTAAATTTTTGTTGGTTAGTTTGGATTCTTCCCTCTAGTTCAAGTTGAATTTCATACATAATTGATATTGGTGTTTTGGAGTTTGCCTGGAGTTTGCCTGTTTTCAAGTTGTATTTCATATGAATCATCAAAATTGTACTTTCATATACCATAAATATTGGTTTTCATGGATCAAGCATTTCTTTTTAAGTTAGTTGACTCTACTGAACAGTTCAATTTGTACCCTACAAACTGGATCGCTTCTTCTTTCACACATGTAGCAGTCTGCAGTCATGCATTTTATTTGTAGGAAAATGGTTCTGCCTATTCTAAACTTTTTTCTTGTTTTGTTTATTGTAATTTCTAAGGCATCTCTGGGTAGACTAGTAAACATGACTGATTCTATTTCTTGAATACACTGCATTGGAAACTATTCAATCTCTCTCTCTCTCTCTCTCCTTTTGACTTTTCCTTTCTACCGCTTATTTGCCTCAGTTGTACCCGATCTGGCTGTGCCCTCACCGTCTCTACAAGCTCCCAATCAAGACGATGGTAAATCCAGAGCCCGGGTTCGAGCATGCACACAGGCAAGGAGATACAGACTATGCTCAAATGTACACCGATGTAGGTGTTTATTATGCTCCAGGGCCTGTATTGAGAGGTGAAAAATTCGATGGGGTTGCAGCAGTTCGCAATATGGAGGACTGGTTAATTGAGAACCATGGTTTCCAACCCCAATATGCGGTTTCAGAGCTGAGTGAGAGGAACTTTTGGCGCATGTTTGATGCTTCTCTCTATGAGCATTGCAGGAGGAAGTATGGGGCTGTTGGGACCTTCATGAGTTTATATTACAAGTCGAAGAAGGGGAGGAAGACAGAGAAAGAGGTGCGAGAAGCCGAACAACAACACCTTGAAGGACCTTATGTGGAGATCGAGCAGCCAGCAGAGTGAGAAAACTTTCAGGTATGTAGTGAGAGAGTCCTTGTGAGATGAGTTTTGGTAGAGTTTGTGAAGGCAAAAGATCGATCACTGACGGCTTATGCTTCGGTTTCTCTATGTTCCTTTTCTATTTGAATCTTGGATGCTCGTATTGGTCTTGTTTGTTTTGGGTGCTGTGTTTTTAGATATCGAACTTCTTCGAGGAAGAAAACAGATAATCTGAGTCTCACAGGGTTTAACAGTTACCAGTCCTTCTGTGACTGAAGCCTCTGATATCATGAACTGTAGAAAGGAAGAGAGAGGTTGCTGCAAAATATTTATAAATTGTGATAGAAGGAAAGTAATTCAAAATATTGGAGAGAGAGTTTCAAAACATTGAAGAGTATCTTTTGTGTATGTGTAAAACTGATAAAATATTCTTAAAAAGCTTCTTTACAGTCTGGAGTTTGGATTTCACATGTTGTTACTTTAGTCGATGCGATCCTTTTTGACGTGGGTAGGGCAGCCCATCCTGGCTTGGTCGGCATGGCCTGGACCCCCAAAATTTGACCCGAGGGCATTTCCAGGGTGCTTGGACCTTTTTGCCTTATATTTGTGTGTGTGTGGGTTTTTTTTTTTTCACTTGGCTCAGTTTGGGCTTTGTCCAAACTAGCTTGGGGTAGATTAGGCACCTAGCCAAGGGCCTAAGCTCTTTCGGCGCAGTCTGAGCCGCTGGCCCTACATGTGGAAACAAAAAGCCATCCACAAAAACAAAAAAGGAGGAACACAACGTAAATATATACGTGGTTCGACAATGTATCTACGTCCACAAGATATGAGAGCTTCTTTACTGGCAATGGAAAATAATGTTACAATAACTCTTTTCATTCTCTCTGATAACAAAGAGATTTGCGTTTTTTTTTTAACCTTAAAAACTCATCGCAACAAGAGATGAGAGCTTTTTTACTGGCAATGAAGAATAACGTTACAATAGCTCTCTTCCATCTCTCTGATTACAAAGAGATATGCGTTTTTCTTTTAACCTTAAAAACCCATTGCAACAATATATATATCTGTGTTTTTCTTCTAACTTTAAAAGCCCATCGTAACAATATATATCGAGAGTCTCAGATAGATGGTACAAATTATCAAAATATCATTGTACGAATATATATCGAGTCTCAGATATATCGAATCCCATATACGGACTTTCGGAGTTGTCCTTTTGACTCTATCTCGAGAGATCTTTTTTTTTAGAATACAAGACATCAATCTTTAAAACTACTTATTTAATTTTTCATTACATATAGGAATTTAGTTTGGTTGGGATGCCACACATTTAAGAAAAAAATTCGATTGATGCAAGCATGATAATATCTCAATTCTATCCGTGGCAAATTAAAGAAATCTTAAGCATTTTAAAATTTTAAGGGACTGTTTACGAAGAGACCATTTATTATATGGAGATCACAATCATTCTTGTATCTTAAATTTCGAAATGGGTAGTTGTAAGCATGGTTAGCAAGTCTCTATTTGAAATAGAATTTTTTTAAATATGTTAACTCTAAGTTTTTCAAAAGATCTTCAGAATTTTTTAAAATATGTTAATAACTCTGAGTTTTTCAAAAGATCTTAAAAAAATCATGTTTTTTTAATGGAACCAATATAAATCCATGTTTTATTCAAAAAAAAAAATTTCTAAAAAACTTCTTCCTTATAATTTTATTTCTTAATTAACTTAATATTGTTGAATTTTGGCTTACTCATAAGCATATTAACATTTGGCTTACTCATAAGTATATTAACATTGGGAGTAAATTAAGAACTTTTGTCTAACAAAAAATTCTATAAAAAATTTAATCGATGACTTCCCTTAAAAAAAAATACAAGCAATATATTCCTCAAAAAAATAATCAAAATAATCGTATATTTCAAAATAATAGGTACAAATGGAGGAAGAGTAACTTAATGAAAATTTATTTTTTTCTTTAAACCCATGGCGTCTTTATAAAGAGCAAGAGAGAGAGTAAAGAATATTAGAGATTTAGGTCGTTAGGAATTCAACGAGAGATTTAAATTTGCTTAAGCATTTTGGTTTTAGATTTTTTTGTATATAGAAGTTTTATTAATTTTATATTTTATTTGTTATTTTTTTATTTCATTAGAGTATACAACATAGCATTGTGGATGGACCACTATTTTATATATTTGGGACTTTGCATTTTCTTTTAATTAACGTCAATCCTATATTGGGTTTTTTTTTTTCCTTTGAAGCATAATTTTATATCTTGGTTCACAGTTCTTGTTATTTGCTAATTAGTTCTTGTTAATATTGTTGTTGTTTCATTTTATGCTCTCAATAAATCTACGATGTGTTTTATGTTAGGAACCCAGTTTCTATGCGGCCAAGCTAGCATATGTAGAAATGCAGGCCTCTTAATAATTCTATTTTTGAGATGGGTTTTAAGACTTAATTTTTAAAGACATGTAATCTCTAACATGGAGATCATGAATATGTAAAAGTTAATAAATTTAAAAAACTAAAAATATTAATTTTATCAAGAAAGCATTTCGACCGTTAGTTTCTATTGTTTTAGTTTCTATTGTTTTTAGATGGAACGCCTAAGATGGATGCTTTGTACTTTCTGGACCGCATATGTAGAAATGTGGTACCAGCCCGCACAAAACAATTTTTCTTTATGTTATGATGACAGAGCAAGCATGGTTGCTGGATTTATTAAAAGTTTCAAGAAAATATTGTCGAGTATTGCTTAATGACTCATAATCCTATATCGTGTCATGTTTACCAATCCGATTTTTTCACTATTTGTTTTGAACCAAATCTGAAATACTCATGATTCAATATCTTACTTTATTTTTTGACGATCCGTATCCAAAATGTTCATGATTTTATAACTTACCTTATTTTTTAGCGATTTGTATTTTTTACCCAATTTTTTTATTTGGCTTTTCAAAATAAAACCGATTGCTCTGAGGTTCGGCTTTAGCCTTGCGAAATCTGCATGTGGTCGTGCTGTAGTGGTGCCAAATTCTCCACTTTTGTAATATAGAATGGGCGAGAGGCTACTTGTAAACTTCTCTGGTTTGAGTAATGGACACGGTTTCTATGCGGCCAGCCCGCATTTGTAGAAATGCGGCTTGGCAAAAATTAAATATAATTTCATCCTAATTTTTAGAGAATATATAATATTTAACGTGGAGATCATGAGTATGAAAATAATAATAATTGAAAACTAAAAATAATTACTATATTAAGAACATATTTGGACCGTTAGTTACACTAGTTTTTAGGTGGACCACCTATTTGCGTCCATTTTTAAGATGGATGATTCATACTTTTGGACCGCATATTGTAGAAATCCGGTCCAGCCCGCATGAAACAATTTTCCTTGACTAATGGGGAACGATTTCATAGGACGGTTGCATAGTATAATAATGCAACACTCTTCAAAAACCATATTAGAGACATTTGTTTGACACAAATTTTTAGATGTATACTCTTTTCATTATGAAAAGAAATCACAAAAAAAAAAAAATTTGAAATAATGCTCTAGAAAGTTTTCATTCTAGCCCAATTAATATAAGCCGTCCATTTTATTGAGATGGTTAGATATAGGTCTCAAAATGGTTTTTTTTATTCCCAAAATTTTTATACAGCTTTATCATCATTAGATTAATAATGCTAAAGCAGAAAAAAGTGATTTTGAAGGCCTAGATCTTGAAATTCACCAAATGGATGGTCGAGATTTATTGTTAGATGGGTACTAATTTTGACCATATCTAGCGTGCAAATTGAATTTTTTTTTTCCCCGTAGGATTGATTATGAGGGTGAAGAGAATGTGTGTGCAAAATTTGGGGTCATACAAATGCCAAAAATATAGTTTTCTAGAAGTGTGGTTGCATTATACTACTATAGTACCCTTGCATTAGATCAAGTCCTATGAGTAATAGCCCATTACTACAAATGAATACCTTACATATGGTGCCATTTATGTATCATATATATATATATATATATATATATTTATATATAATATGTGTGATTTATGCTATCATCGGGCTGATTTGAATTGGATGGCTAGGTTAGTTTCAGTCTCAATATTACGTCTAAACACTGCTCTAAATTATTATTTTTCTAAGAATCAGTTTTGCATTAAATTTGGGGTGTATCCTCACTTTGTTGGGATGGTCCAAGCGATTTTTTTAAAAAAAAAATAAAAAAAATTAAAAAGTGACCAAAATACCTATTTGAGTTCCAAGAAATTTCAGCCATTTTTAATTAGAAATATGTTTTCTCATTTTTATTAAGAACACCCCCTATGAGAGGTGTGTACTCCCAAATGTCACTGCAAATTACTTATAAAAATAATAATTATAATATTTTGAGTTGTCTGATCAAGATTAGATGCTAAAAAACTATGCCTGAAGTTACCCCAACCATTACTTAAAGTGAAAGGCAGATAATTAAGGCTCACATGTAAGCTTCCTAAATATAGATAGGGTTGTGTTGGGATGATCATGAACTTTATCCATAGTATATCGTCTTATTTGAGATTAATAATATTTTGTCAATGTTATTTTGTGTTGTTTGGTATGTATCTCATATTATGTATATATTTTATACATCTTTAACTTTTCAATGATATCCATTTATTTATAACTACTTTATGGCCTTGAATATGTGATGTTCAACAAATAACCTTGAATAAAGCAAAAACAACTTTTTTTAAAACATAAACTTATATGTAAAACTGAAAAGTTCATCTCGTATAACTTTATAATAGATATAGCCAAATAACAAATAGCTCGTTATTAGGATTACTTCTATTGAAACAGTAAATTATCAGTAATAATGATTGCATCCAAAAACACATTTAAACGGCAAATTTAACTTGAATTAAAAAAGAGGACAATGAGGTATCCTCAAACATGTATCAATGCTACTGTGTTAATTAAGTTAATTAACGCATTCATGCATGAGAGCAATGGAACCTATATGTATCACGTATTAACATTCATGGTAGACTTCATATACGGAGTGCAGACACAGGGAGCAGCTCCAACAGGTCAATATAATGTCTAATGAGCATTTGTTTGATAATTTAAACCTGTTTGTATAATCCAAAAAGGGTGAATTTGGTTTGTTTTGGATTATGCGATTGTAATTTTCAATTAAGTTGTTTGAGAATTTTTCAATCGCCCTATGTTTAAAAGTTCTCGGCAGTGGTTAAAACCGGGGGTTCGATATTTTTGTAGTTCAACCATCTATAATCAAATAAAAAAACTTATAGAGAAAATTAAATATGGCCACAAATTTTAAAATGCTATTTAAGTTCTAATTTTGTCAACGATACCAATAACTTTGTTGAATTAGAGTGTGATTTTCTCTTTTTTGGGGTAAATGGGGAACAGGTCCCGTTAAGCATTGGCTTGTATAACGTGTCAACCTTAAACAGTTCAATTAAGATGCGCCTCCAAAGCTCAAAGATATAATTTTAGTTGCAGAAATTTCAATGACGACCTGAAAAAACTACTTCACATCTAATTAGATAAACAACCTAGTTTAGCCACGGTTCATACAAATCTGCACATAATTACCGTATGTTCTACATGTTGTGACAATTAAGGGTGGCAACGGGGGCCTCGCCTGGCGTTAATCAGTAATTGGTTTAAAACAAAGTATATAATAAAACCATTAAAAATTTGTACAATGGGATCCAAGCTTACCTTAGCTATTGGATGTGAATTCAAGGGACTGACGCAAACCAATAGTTGGGCTGAAATTGAGAAAAAAAAAATCAAGCTTTGTAACACATTCAAGATATCAAATTCACATTTTACGCCTATGAATAACTGTCATTTCTTTGTGCCAAAGATAAATGGCCTTATACTATATTAAACCTTAATTAATTTTCCTTTTCCTTAAATGCCTAATGGCTTAAGAGAAAATCTTAAAGAAAATGTGATTTTTCAAAACTGTTTAAAATATATGCATTGATTGTTTTAAACGGTGTTCAAAATCCGACTCGGCCAAGGCCAAGCCCTTTGGGGGGCATGCTTTTACAATACTCAAAAGGTCTTCCAAGCTTTTATGACGTATAGGTACAACCTACTCTGGTAAAACTCGTCTTGCCCTTAGGGCGAGGCCAAGTAACTCAGCCGAGTCCGATTGGCCTCGGCCGAGTCTCAATACACGGGTTCTAAAAGAACTCTCTAAAAGTCAGAATTGGTGTGAAAATCTTAAAATACAACACTTTCTTATCTTCACTTCAATATCCCGATTTCTTGAAGAATATAAGCTTGCCAAAAATATTGAGTTTACCTACTTGAAGATAGGCTTAACCAATGGTTTTAGATATTCCCCATTGGAAACAAAATTAAACATGCGTTGCATGGCCACGGAGGAGAGAGGGGTCGATATCACAGATAGCAAGTTTGGGAATAATAATTTATTGGCAAATAAATAAGCGATAATAAATTAGTTTTGGCCCAAAATTTTGGACCGCAAAAAAAAAAGGAGAAAAATTGTGGATCACTAAAAATTATGTAAATCGAAAAATCATGAATATTATGAACTTGGTTAAAAAGGGGTAAATAATTAGATATGTATAGATGAAAGGAATAAGGTTATGATTTTGCGGATGTTCTAATGATACGATAAAGCCCTTGAGCAATAATTTTGTGGTACGACTTAGCAGCATTTAGATCCTACATTACAAAATTAATCTATCCAAACTATTATTTAACAAAACAATTATATTAAACACAACAATAATAAACACAACAATTATATTAACAAATAATAATAACAACAATTCAATGCGGTTGATATTAAAAAAAAGAAGAAGAAAATATTAAATATACCCCCATGGTTGCATATATTTCAAATTTACTTTTATATTCGTTTAATACATCTATATCCGTTTCAACCTTCTTCTATTTTTAATCCAGTTTTAAACCCATCACGGATCTAATAGGCGTGAGGCCTTTTGAACTCGGGGTTTTTTCTCTGTGTCACGGACCCCGATCCACCATTTTTATGTTGACTTTCCAGTCTCTCTTGAAACTCTTTCACTTTTCTAGCAATTTCATAAAGTTCATGGATGATTACCTAAATTAATTGAGATGATTTTTTAAGTTTAATATGTCGCTCCATACAATATTTTCACCCTGTTTTCTTGGCCAACTTGGAAATATCCACAATATTTTTGTTCACCTAATTTTTGCCAAACTTAGTTATTTGGTCAAAATTGATATAAGTTTTTTAGAACTGTGTACAATAAGACTATTTACTTTTTATTACAATGTCACACTCATTATTTACTCTTAGATGTGAAATCAAGTGGTTGGAGATTTACTGTTGACTGGGCATAAAGTCCAAAATATATATATTTTTTAAAATGATGTAAGTACTTTCAATCTATCAGTTTTTACTTATTGAATTCTTGTGGCCTCTTTATAGAAATTTTTTATTGGTAATAGATATGTAAATTATCCAACTTGCGAGCCACATCCGAAGACTTACTCGATCAGATTTTGGAAACCACCTAAGAATCACTAGATGATTATTTTTGAAGAAAAATAATTAGATTTGGAGTCGAGAGGCGAAGAAAAAAAAAATAGAATTTTATTTTAGATCTCACCCTCCAAAAGTTTGATATTTTATCTATTTAATCTTGAACATTACATCTTTTAAGTTAATAGAGAATGTGATTTTAGAATTTTTTTTTATTCAGGTTAATTTATAGTTAAAGAGGTTACAACTGCAAAATTTGAAGTCCTAAAGAAACTTTTCTAAATTGAATTCCACTCGAAAGAGTAAATTGACAGCATGATCACGCTCACGAGCATAAAACGTTTTAGACTGAGGTATTAAAACTCAACAACAACCGCCAAAAGGGGCTCACGCGGTCCGTGTTTTCCCGCTACCGCATGCCACGCCAACCACAAGTTCAACGTGAGATTAACGCGTGCCAATTTGTCCACGTAGGATTGCCTAATATCCAGTATCCACGTCGGAATTCATGACTTACACGTCATCGCTCATTTTCTATAGTCCTAAATAGGGCCCAACGGCCGCGTTTTCTAAAATGCTTCAGCTTTCTAGAGAGAGAAAGGCAGCAAAGGAGCGAAGAGGAGAGATAAAAGGGGGAAGCCGTTCCCGAGTTTCACGTGGAAACATTCCGATCTTCTCTCTCTAAAGTAACGCGAAGAAAGCCTTAAGGTGAGTCTTTTTTGCGGTCTCTGGAAAGTTCGATCTAGGGCATCATCATCGCTTCGAACAAAACCTGCATTTTTTGACTGGTGAGTTCTCTTTGGTTATATTTTTAATCTACATCCGTGAAAATAATCTCTTCATTTGAAGCTGGAGTGACTTTTTATTGCTAAAATTTGAGGATAAAAGAGTAAGGAGACAGGTTTGATACTTTGATCTGTTAATTAGACAAGAAATCCTTCGAATTTGTGGCAGGTAGAGTATTGGGTCTGTTCTCTTCTCTCTATCGCTCTGTGCTTAGGTATTGGTTTTTTGATGTATTTTGGATTTTATTTGAAGTTTGATGCAGAGAAATTGAGAGGAAGATCTGTTGGGTTTTTGTCAAGGTGTAATTGGGGCCGATAAATATTTCTATGTAATTTCCTCTCCAATAAATACGTGTGTGATTTCCTTTCTATCTGAACAAGAAAACATTGAAAAATAACTAATTTTATGGGTGGATGGTTTGGTTTTATCTTTTATTTTTTGAGAGAGAGAGAGAGACGGGCTGGGCGGGGAATGATTTTGTGAGATCATTCTCCTCTTTAGAAAACCAGGGGCCCCCAAAGTTGCTGGCACCCAAAGTAATGGTGGATATCAAGCCATCCAAAAAAGCGAGCCTCAAAGAGATTGTCAATAAAAGGTTCAACCAGCAAGGAAATTGTTATTGGAAGAAAATGGAACAGGGACCAGTGGTTCACTTATTAATCTTTTTGGTGTTCCTCTCTCGTGTTTTAGCCATATCTTTCTTCCCTCGCTTTTCTGTTGTATTTTCTTTCTCTTGTGCCACTTTTTGTGTGTGTGTGTGTCTCTCTCAGTCAAATTTGCCCATGTTTAGTCCAAGATTATACTAATCCGCTGATTATATGTTTGCCAATCTCTATCTATATTTCTCTTGTGATTTGATTCCACCCATATTTCAGTTATTAATTTTTGGGGTTTGAGTCTGGAATTTTACCTGGGTCTTTACTGGGTCTTCAAACTACATGGCTTTCATGCACTCCTCTCAAAAGGATCAGTAAAAGGTCATGTGAAAGTGTCTTTTGATGATCCCTTCAACTAAAACTGTTCTAATATTTCTTGAATCTCCTATTCGTTTGCTATGCTGCTTGCTCTTGCTGAAATTTGTAAGGATGTCGTTCTCCAACGTTATCTTTCTAAGGCAGAGCTATTGCTCTTCATATGCCTGCAAAATTTATTTTCCATTTCCAATATCATTTGCTTCTCGTTGGCTGTAATCTATCAAAGGCTGTTTAATCTTATATGTGGAAACATCACTATGATGAGAGTCTTGGTAAAGAAGACTCTGCTGTCAAAACCTCTTTATGAGGTAAATTTATGTTTATTTATAAGAAATACATTAAATGTTCCTGCAATCATTTGCTTCTTGTTGGCTATAATCTGTCAAAGGCTGTTAAATCTTATATGTGGAAACATCACTATGATGAGAGTCTTGGTAAAGAAAACTCTGCTGTCAAAACCTCTTTATGAGGTAAATTTATGTTTATTAATAAGAAATACGTTAAATGTTCCTGCAATCCTTGAGAGATGAATGCCAATTTTTAGAAAGAATGGCGAAAAAAGATGATTCAAATCATAATAATTGATTATTTTATGGATTCATTTGCCATGCCATAATAAACTACATAAATTTAATTCATTTTTTCTCGAGCTGTATGAGTCCTATACTAGAATTTTACTCTGTAAAGTCAAAAGAAAGTTTAAACTGTGATGAGATATGCACACAAATCCAGGATTTCCGCTTTTCTCACATGCGACATTCATAATCTTAATTGATTCCATTTCTTAACGGCATTTGAGCTGCATGGATCTACATATTAATGTTAAAATCTTGATCGTTGAGGGGCAATATTTGGGTAAAGGTGTTTAAATGCATCACGCAATGTGGGATCGTTTTAGTTGTATTTGAATAAAATGAACATTGAACCCTATACTTTTGAAAAGAAAATGTTCTGTGAACCACTTAGTTTTGAAATTACATGGTATATAGGCATTTTGTTTATTTTGACGATGCCTACATGTATCTTGTGCATTTGATGGTGTTTGTTCTATTATGGATCCAACTTATGAAACAGATGGTTATGGATACTTGCGGTTTGTTTATTTCTTTTTTCTTTTTAAGCGAAGGTGAATTTTTTTTAACTAATTAAAGAGCATTGTTTACATCATGCAAATAGATGACGCCAAAGTAGCAACGATGTAAATAAAAAAGTTGCCTAATAAGAAAAGTCAATAAATTCTAATTTTATTAGTCAAACAGTCTTAAGCTATAAAAATTCTAAATACAAGTTTACTGTTAAACAGAGACGAGAAAATACATGTTAGGATAATGTGTAGTCAAGAAATATTGAAGACCAGCTTGGCGTCTCTATCGAGATTTTCAAAATTTTTGAACACTCAACATCCTGTTGTATCAAACAGGGCGGCCAAAGTTATCTTTCAGGATTTTCCTTTTGGTAGAACTTCTTATGATTAATACTTGCATTATTTGATTACACAGACTACCTTCACTGTTAAGAAAGTGTGTATGCTATTTCTTTGAAGGCTAGAGATATTTCAAGTTTTATGTACAAAAAGTCAAGTCTATTGTTTTTTCTTTCTAGGGAAAAATCCAAGATGGAGCCGAGTGTACTTTTGCTCTCAGATTTGGTGGTGCTGCCAGTAAGTGCAGCATTTTCTGCAGTCCCAGAAGTTGCAGATAAAGCAGCTGGTGGAAAGAAAGCCATTGTTATCACCCAGGCTTCTCTTCTTGGTAATGTTTTCCCCTTAATAAGTAGTCAAAATATTGATTTCTTTATTTTCATTCTTTATCAAAAACCATAGTTTAGGAAATGCTGGATTTGTATTGATCTGTGACTTTTTCTGGGTAAGAAGATTTGAAGAGGAAAATGACATTTATGAGATGTTACTTAAAAATAATGAAAAAAAAAATGTTAATTTTATTTTTTGTGGGTGTAGCACGTGATCGGTGTTGGAGATATTATACATTTCTTTAAGCATTATAAGAGGAACATTTTTTGTTTTTTCAGAAAAGCTAGAAGGGTTTCCATTTTTTCTTTCATGATTGTTCTCATTTTATTTTCAGCATAGTGATCAATTAATGGGAGCGTCATTTGTACTTATATTCCTCAAAAAAGGTCCCATCACTTTTATGCTAATTTTGGGAAAATGCTTGAAATCCCTTGTAGTAAACCCGATAGTAACTTAATACACATTACATAAGTATACAACTGTCCTCCCTCCTCCTCCATTACAACATAAGAAACATATATTGATTTTAGAAACCCTGTAAGTTGGATGATAAATAATTAAAGAAAGTTTTCTGCCTAGCTGTATAGCTCCTTCCAAAGTTATGGTGTTCATAAATCAGCTTCGTGCTTCTATATTGGATGTAAGCAATAGGGAGGTAGCATCAGTGAGGAGGTTTTATTAATTGAGGTGACAAGCTACTTTGATGTGCTCCATCTGGTCATGTAAGATGGGATTAAAAGCGACGAGGACTTATCACAAAAAAAAAAGAAAAAAAGGATGGCAGTGGCACTGAAATTATCACAGCAATACAGTGTAGCAAATGAGAGGACAAACACCTAGTAGAAGAGCATATAATGAACAATGCAAACGGAGCACAATACGCGATTTTTGTTTTTAATGTCAACAATTTTCTTTTCTCTTTCCAAAGATGTACAAAATTGTTTGAAGTCTACAAATTAATCTTATATACATAATTGATCTGCGGATACCACCTGGACGTAGAGTATTAAGATTGTCTATATAAGATAATACCGAGAATGACAAAATATTGGTTGCTGAGTTGCAAATTTCTATATTTTCTTTGTTGTATCAGGAAAAAAAGGGAGAAAGTGGACTTATGGTGGAATAGGGAGAAAATAGACTTATTTAGGAATAAATTGATAAAAGAAGGAAAAGGGAATTTTGAGGACGAAGTCAATGTTTTGTGGAATGAGATGGTTGATTGTATTAAGAAAGTTGTAAAAGAAGTTTTAGGAGAATCTAGAGGGAATACACATTAAGATAAGGAAACTTGGTAGTGGAGTGATGAGGTTCAAAAGGTTATTAGCCAAAAACAAGCTTGTTACAAAATTCGGCAATGAAATAGAAATGACCAAAACTTAGAATAATATAAAAATGCTAAGAAAATAGCAAAGCTAAGGTTTAAGTTATATGACGATTCGTAATTGGGGACAAGAGAAGGTGAAAAAGATATCTTCAAACTAGCACCAATGAGAGAGGGGAAGTATGGGCATCTAGGTCATGTTAAATGTATTAAAAGTGAAGATTAGAGGGTCTTGGCGAAGGATGATGAGGTCAATGACAGGTGGAGAGTTTATTTTAAAGAATTATTAAATGACGTCTACTTTAGGAGCACAATGTGTTTTTTTTTGAAGCACAATGTTAGGAGGAACCTTTGACATAAATGAGGTTGGAGATCATAGATACATTTGTAGGATTGCGATATCTGAAGTAAACAAAACTTTGAGAAATATAAAGATAGGAGAAGCTTTAGGACTAGATGGTATACAAGTAGAGTTTTGGAAGTGCATGGAGGGTTTGGCATATTCTAGTTGACCAAGTCGTTGAACAAGATTTTGAGAACAAAGATAATGCCATACGAATGGAGAAAGAGTAAGCAATGCATACGACATGAGAAGTGTATTAGAAATTTGGTCGGTTTTATGCCAGGGAAGTAATTATTGAGGCTATTTTTCTTCTTAGGCAACTGATTGAGAAGTTTAGAGGGAAGAGAAATGACCTCCATATGGTCTTTATTGTTTTAGAGTACGTATATGATATGGTACCTAGAGAGTTAATATGATCGGTGCTAGAAAAGAAAGAAGTCTCTAGAGGATATATTGGCATGACTTGGATATGTTCGAGGGAGTGCTAACTAGTATGAGGACATCTATTGGAGAGACAAATGAGTTTTAAGTGACAGAAGGCCTGAATCAAGGGTCAGCATTGAGCCCATATGGCTTTTCCTTGGTTATAGATGAGTTAACTAGGCATATACAGGATGAGGTGCTGCGGTGATGACATGACTTTGATTGATGAAACTTGAGACGATGTCAACACGAAGTTAGAACTTTGGAGGGACACTTTAGAATCTAAAGGTTGTAGCTGGCTTTCTTGGGATTGCTCGCCGGCTGAGTATGACGACTGGCCCCCCCGGCTTAGGCCAAGCGATCCATCCACGCTCATATCCATAAAGAATGAGTCGAGGCCTGTAGTGCGCTGCAGGAGATTCATAGACCGCATTGGAAGGGGGCACTGTGGGTCAATCATATGAAGCTCTAGTTGACACTGCTCGGTGAATCATACGCTATCAAAGCAGTTACTCTACTACGCGAACAACTATCCTCGCAAGCATTTTCGCTGGCAGAAGCCAAGCTAGCGTTCCTTCCTTTTCGAGATCCCAATCATTTCCTGGTACCAGTTTCCACTCCCATTTGAGATGCTTTAGAATTAGTTAAGATTGATGGCGAAGAAGTATCTAAAAGTATCTTGGGTCGATAATCCATGATAATGGAGAGATTGAGGAAGATGTTGCGCATAGAATTAGAGTTGGGTGAATGAGGTGAAAATGTGTCGTTGGAGATTTATGTGATCATTGCATACCAATAAAACTGAAGGGAAAGTTTTATAGGATGGTTGTAAGACCAGCCATGCTTTATGGGATGGAATGCTGAACGATCAAGAAGCAACATAAATCTAGAGAATGAGTGTAGCTGAGATGAGGATGTTGAGATGGATGAGTGACAGGACAAGAAATGATAGAATTCGGAATGAATATATCTGAAGAAACTTAGGTGTAGTTGTAATACTCGATAAAATGAGGGAAAGTTGACTTAGTCTATTCATCTGCACCATCAACCTAGAACAACACTGATTAGGAAGGGTGATTTGGTTGAAGTGGAAGGCTCTAAAAAGGCAAGGGGAAGGCTTAAAAGGGCATAGATGGAAGTGGTGAGGAATGATATGATGACTTATGGTTTGATTGAGGGTATGGCACTTGATAGAGTGGAATGGCGAAATAGGATTCATGTAGCGGACCCCAAATAGTTAGGATAAGGCTTGAATGATGATGATGATAATGATGATCATAGATGATTTGAGCTGAAGTGTTTTTTCAAAAGAACATTTTAAATTGCTGAGAGATATATTTTATTTGTAATAAATTGTTTATATGTTACTTCTTTGGAGACACCATAAATTGGAACATAATACATGATATTCAGCCAATTGGTGATCTAATGAGGTCAACCCCTGGTTTGCTGTTGGTAGTGAATATTGAGTGTGATCAAGAATATGATGACGTGTTGTGTCACATTTAACGAGAGTAATCTATCAGGAGTGTTATAACCCATAGTGTCACATGAACCAAATTGATGTCCACTATCCATCTTTGGTCGGGTAGGATTAAAAAATATCACGAAATCTTTAAATGCTTATCGGGTGCCTAAAACGATGGAGTTACTACAAGTTCGGTAACCTCTGATCAAAGAAGGGATTTCTCTTTCAAGAAATACATGAGCCTGACCTTGTTGAGCAAACCTGTGGCGTATCTGGGAAGAAAGAACTAGGAGAGTTGAGGCAAGTGTTCCAAAAGGTCGTGAAACTAGAAGAGCCTTACTTATTTCAATTATACTGGGTAAAGTGTCTAAATGGAGACAGGAGCACGATATTATTGCCAGCTGTAAGAGGAGGTCGACCATCACCCATATTATCAATGAGCATCTCACAATAGAGGAACCAACATTAGCTAGAGTGTGACAACCCTTTTCTTTCAGAATTTATTCTCTTCTTGACCCAGAACAAGGGTTAAAATGGACAACTTCCAATATAGGTTAATCTCGGGAGAATAGGTTGCTTGGCTCGAGTGGCCTTTCTTAGAAATGGAAATCCAAAGGGTAGTGCCTAACCTTGGCCAGGGCAAGGCTCTTGGTCCGGGTGGCATCCATGCAGCTTTGTTTCCACGATTTTGGGATACCTCATCCCCATGCTTTTGGCCTTTCTTCAAAATTTTTACATTGGGGTGTGATTACATAAATGGATGAATGCCACCTTCATCACCCTTATGCTTAAGGTAGAAGTAGCTGCTTAGCTAGGAGGCTTCGACCCCATCAGTACTGTACAGGATACCATTCAATGTCCTAGCAATGGGGCTCAGAGCATTTTTGAACAATGTCATGTCCCTCAACCAAGGGACCTTCGTTAGGGCCTGTGAAATTCTTGATGGACCCCTAATAGCCCTTGGATACCTACACCAGGGCATTTGTCCAAAGTCTCAGGTTTGGTGCTCAAACTTAATGGGGAGAAAAGGTGTAGGAACATGTGGATCATGAAACTCTTGACCAAGTACATTACCGCATGGACTTCGGCCAAAAATGGAGATTTTGGATGTCCTGGTGCTTATTTTTGGCGATTTTCTCATTCTTGATTAATGGAAGTCTCCATAGCCTCTTCTAGGGCTCCAGGGGTTTGCATCAAGCTCTTTATGCAATCACAACAGAAGTGTTCCATTCTCCAATTTCCAACGCCTACAGCACGGTTGTTACTCAAGGCTTCTAGTTCTTTAGAGGTGGCTTGCAATTCTCCCACCTTCAATACGCTGATGATCCGTTCTGTAAGGACCACTCAATGGTGGATAGCCTGTGAAAATTTTTCTGCTTCTTTGAAGTAACCACCAATCGGAAAGTAATCATAACCACGGGAGTAGGGGTCACTCTAGACATAATGGTTAGCAAGAATCTGGAGCTGCCTCTATGCCCCGTAAAACCTAGAAAACAGCTGTGGGATACTGCTGTGGAAAGGTTTCAGTGGAGGTTGGCATCTTGGAAATAACGGTTCATACCTCATCTATCTAGGAAAATGATCACTGTCATTACTGCTGCATTGGCCAACATACTATTGTTTTAAATTTTTCTGGATATGCCAATGTCTGTTGTCAATAGACTTGAGCGCATTAGATTTGAGAATGTTGTGAGGGATTTCCTTTGGTCGGGAGCGGGAGTTGACCGACCTGGGCAGGTGGGAAGCAGTTTGTAAACCAAAGAGATATGGTGAGATTGGAAGTAAATGCCGCAAAGACATGAACCTTTCACTGCCATGCATGTGGTGGTGGAGGTTAAGTACACCATCTGTGGAAGCTAGTTGTTTAACAAAAATATGGCCTAGGTGATGTGGGTGGCTGCCTATGGGGGGGCGACACTGTAAGGGCATTGGGGGTCTGGAAATGTTTCACCTTTTTGTTCCTGTTCTTGCAAACCCGAATTTGTTTTCATAAAAAACCGGTGTTGGTTTTTGCTTTTGGAATGGCTGTCATGGAGATAGAGCTTTGGAAATCCTGCTGCCTAACCTGTACAAGGTGGCCGCTGACCACTATTGTCACATTTTGGATGCCTACAAGATGCCTACAAAGTCCTTGGAGGGCATGCAGTCTGTGGACTGAGGTCCTGCAGGCACCTCACTGATCAAGAAGCCCTAGAGCTCAAAGAACTTTTCTCCCCTCGACTCCCGTTTGATCTTTTGGCAAGGCTGAGATAGGTTGGTATGTGAGCCAACCAGCGCATGCTGCTTTTTGACAAGACCATTGAAGAATCAGCAGACGACCTATTTCTACTTTTTTTTTTTTATTGATAATGTTGACCTTGGCGACCTATTTCTACATTGCCATTTGTCTAGCTAACTGTAGCCATTCCTATTCAACTGTTTGGTTCCATGTTGTGCCTGGGTGCATACTTTTCTATCTCCCTCATTAGGTCTTCTTATATAAATAGCCTCTATAAAAGCCATGGTTTGACCATTTGGATAAAGCGTATAGAAGTTATGATGGTCGGAAATCCCAAATTATACCCTTGAAACACAGGCTCATTGCTATTGTTATAGATTAGGCTATACCTCGGAAGGAGCACCATTCATTCTCCACTTCTGACTTCTATTGAGGTCCACTCCACCCCCATGAGGAACACAAGATCCATGCACTGGAGCCGGCAAGAACCAGGCAGCATCAGACTTAATATTGATGGGTGATATGAGAATCCTGGAAGGGCCAGAATAGGTGGTCTACAGGAACAGTGCAGCATCCATATGGGCTCAAGTTGTTCGAGGGATCATGAGGTTCCTCCTTGGTTGTGGAAGGAGACTCCTTGAATGCCATCAGTTGGGTAAAACAGTCCTCTCCTTGCCCCTGGTTACTGGCGGATATATTTGAAGTGATCAAAGGACTTAGAAGACCCCTCAGAATCTCTTTTCGCCACACATGGAGACAGGTTAATGCCATATCGGATGGCCTTGCAAAGAGTGGGCCGACCACACAACCCTGTCGAAAACAATGGTCTTCAGTTTTTGGGAAAGCACAATTTTTTGGTCCGTGGAGTACATTTCAGTTGGTTTGTAAATAGGCCAATTGTCCCCTCCCCTGCTTTTCCCTACTACTACTCTCCTCATGGCTTGCCATCCTTGGCTCAAATATATGTACTGAGTTTTAACTTTTGTTTGCAGCAACCACAGCTTGTGAGTACCATGAGAATTTGTACCATGTTGGTTATTAATTATATAAGAAAGTTAATTTCTCTCTAGAAATAATGTCAAGTATTTTGCTGTCTTATGTGGCTTTACTACTAAGTTTCTTGGTAAACCTATGTTGATAAATTCCCTAATGAACGAGTTCATTCTGGCTTGAAAAACTATGAGATATGTCTTCATTAGTGAATATGAGAAGCAACCTTTGATCACAATTATGGGCTGCCGAGTTAGATTGTTATGCATCAAGTTTTTTCTTCTTTGATTGCTATGAACATGCTTGGGAGACATCACCAGAGAGTCAGTGAGTCTATGGAATATACTGGTAAATAATTTTTTTTTTCCAATGAAGGAAGGTATTAAATAGAGGAGAAAGATGATAATGGAAAATTAAGTGATGTGGAGGTACATCCTTGTTAATTTGTGAAAAATGGTTGCCCCAAAGACTCAATCTGATAGTTTAATTGATGTTGCTGTATTTTGTTGCACCTATCTGTGTGATCTTTTGGAACAGCTCCTCAAATCAGACAAAGAAGATCATGATATTCTAGATTTAGTAGAAGAAGAGAGATTGAAATTTGAATGGAAGATTAAGCATATGAAAGAGGCTGAATTTTGAATGGAACAGAGGACCCTATTTTATTAAAAGGTTCTGACGAATGATGATCATTAAATGTTTTCCTTGGCAAGGGTAGTACTTTCTCCATGAATGTTACCCTATGGTCAGTGAAAACTTGAGTCTTTTCCCGATAATGCTTTTGACCTATCTATTGTAGAAAGCATTAAAGAGCATAACTGTATGAAGTATTCAGGTGTTTCCAGTTGAATTTCCACAGGATAAACGCCTTTACTATAGAATGATGGCATTGACTTCGCGAGAAAAGATATTGGGATATTATGCAGTAATAAGAACCTTAGCCCATTACATCCCTCAGGTACTTTCATAAAACAAGGCTCTTATCTGTTGATTGTTGTTTGGTTGCTTTCACGTATACTTTTCCTAAGGTGTTTGGGACGAGTGTTGGCAATGAGTGTCTTTTGACAAGGGATGTGATAGGTGTTCTCACATCTTATTTTAAATGTTAAGCTTTACTTTAGTGTCATTCTGAGGCGTAGCATTATGCAGAACTCCTTTAGGTAGGGGAAATAAGCCTTAAATTTATGTTGCCTCAGACTAGTCTTTATATATCTGGAAATGTATCAGTGACAATGAACACTCTAGAATCTAATATCGGATAAAAAAATCTCATTAGAAAACCCTTGTTACAACTGAATACATAACTATACCTGTAGCTTTACCTAGAGAAGGTTAGAAAAGCAAATAGGAGATTTTTTTATTTTTTTGGAAACATGCCAATACAAATGGGTGGATTGCTACCATTGCTCAAAGGAATGGAAGGACTACAAGAATTTGCAATATGATGCTGATGCTGATAATATGATGATGATGTCCCAATTTGGGAATGTCATAATAGATGTCTTTGATTATAATTATTACAATTGGTAACAGAAGAGGTATGTGATTCAGTAACCCACAAATTTAGGTAAAGGAACCTGTACTCTTTGTATGTTTGGCTTGGCACATGATACTTTGCAATACAACCATTCGGAGAGAACTTGCGTAACAATTTTGATATACCGATGTCATCATTCCTGTGCTATAGATAGCTACCTTCACAAAAAGTTGTTGTGATGACAAAAATAGATGATGATGTTATACTTTTTGAATACCATCATATATATCTTGAACCAATGTACTTGTTAACATTGGTAAAGAAAGGAGAGATATGTGATGCAGAAACCTGTGAATTTAGGTAAAGTAACCTGTCCTGTTTTGTACCATTTAATTTTGGCTTACTTGGCAAAAGATCCTCTGTCAACAAAACTACTGGGAGAGAACAATATGTATCAATTTTGGTGTGTTGAAAATGCCCAGTAGTTTTCATGTATTTTGTCAACCCTTCCATGCATTCCTCAAACCCCACAGTTAAGCTGTGTGTATTCCTGTCGGTTCTTACAAAATAGGAAGCCCACAGTTAAGCTATGTATCACGTCTTTCAATGAGACCCTAATTCGATTGCAGATTTTAGTACTTAAAAATTCTGCTGGATTTTGCTTTTCTCTGGATAACTTCACACTTTCACACCCACAAATTAGATTGCCGTGATAGACATCAGTGGTTCAGGATTTTCAGGCTAGTCAGATGCTGGAATTGTGCTAACTGCTATTACAAGTGTGAAGCCTGAAGATATGAGGTGGTATTTGAAGATACGAGGGGCACTTGGCTAGTGAATTGGGTGAGGTCGTGATAATGACAAGTTAAAGCACGAAGCCACCTATCATTGCCCCAAAAATTTTAGTTTGTGATTTCCAAGTCATAAGAAAGTTGCGGAGTGAAGTTCCTATTATCAATAGAACCCCAAAGTTTACATAAAAGTACATCCGAATGTTTCCTATGTTTTCTTGTTGAAAAGTCTGAAATATCTGCAAATGCTGGTGAAATACAACATTCTGATTATTTAGCTTTCATCTTTCGTTTAAAGCTTACAAATTTTGAGTTGGTTTTACTGAATGCAGGTGGAAAATTGCCACTGGAATCTGCCACACTGGAAATAGTTTTGTCAGTGACTAGAACGGTTGAATTTCATAGTAACCAGTTGCTTGAAGAGATTGCTCGGGTGCTAAAGCCTGGTGGCACACTATACATTCAGATATCTTTTGATTTTGCTGGACAATTGGAAGAGGTACTTTGGACCTAGATTTTTGATACGTCTTTCTTATACCTCCCTTGTAGGGTTTTCATTTTTTGTTTGTAATTTGATTATTTCTCTGAATGATTAGTCTTTTGCACTGTGGTTACAAAGTTACATGTGAGACTTATGCAGTGGTCTCTTCGCATGCATTATAAGATTTGCATTCTGAGCATAAGAAACTTCACACGGTTGGAAAAGTAATAGCATGGTTCAGTGGACTGTGGTCCATGGTAGTCTGCATCTGTCATCTGTTCTTGCAGATGTATGATTGGAGAGTGAGGTCCACAGGGAGAATCACTTGGCTACAGCAAATATCCAGCCATTTGCGTAGAGTTCCATATACTTCTATTCTATGAATGTTTCAATGGATGGATCTTATTTGTTGTTTAATTGTGCATTTGGACTAGCGTCCTGTATGGAAGTCATACTACCTGTGGATCAAAATTTCAAAATTAGTCATTGACTTTTCAGGTTCGTGGTGCTCTAGAACGTAAATTACTCCTTGCTGGATTTCTTGAAGCAAAAGTCCAGCAGATGTCCTCACTGGAAGATGCTCAATCTTTTACGGTAAGACCAACACCGTTATTTTTGTGTTTATTTAATCAAGTACATCTCTAATGATGTGCAAGAGGACTTCTTTTATGGACAACGGTTGGACTCAAAGAGTGCTGGAGTAGTTAGGCAGAGGAGCACATGAGTTCATTTTCTTTTTGCATTGGCCAATTGAAAAGATTAAAAGTCACTTTCACTTTGGGCATACTGGTTAACTTTTGAAGATAATGGTCTATATATATTTTCCTATGAAGTGAGATTGTTTTGTTAGTGTATACCTTCTTTTCTTACGTGCTTGATGTGGTGGCATTTATCTGTAGTTATCAAGATCGGCCAGGACTGCCCGGTCAGACTACTAACCGGTATCTTGGCTATTTCAAAGAAAAACCAGATTTGGTCGAAAATTAGTATGACTGTTCTAAATAGTCAAACTGACCGAACCAGATCAACAAAGTTGGACATTGTTTATAGTTGGACATTTTTTATAGGATATTTATGTTTTTGAACTACTATTCATTTTTTCTTTAATTTTTTTATAATCTAGTCTGGTTGGTTCGACAATTGGTGGTCGAATCGGTTTGACTGAAATAGACCCTTCACCTGTTCAGTAGTTATTCGATCTTGATAAACACGGTCCCATTCTTATTAATTGGTGATCCTATTGGGAAGTGAATTTACTTCAGTTGCATGAGAAATTAATCAATGTTTAAATAGAGAAGCCATACATGATGGAAGTGATCAATTGCCAAATTTTCTACTGAAACCTTATGCTTGTCATGCCCATTTTCACAGATTAGATCCCAAAAGCCTGAATGGAAGATCGGAACATCATTTTCCTTGAGGAAAACACCAAAGAGCTTCCCAAAAGTTCAATTTGACGATGAATTTGATCTCATTGATGAGGACAGCCTCCTTACAGAGGAGGATCTAAAGAAACCTCAAGTGCCTATTGGTAGGACTTCGAAATTTTGAATTACAAGGGATCTCTCTCTCTCTCTCTCTCTATATATATATATATATATATCCAGTGCAAATAGTGTACTTTCTGGTTGTACTCAGTAAAATAACAATTTTGGTTTATTGCTTGCACTTTTTGCAGTTAGTGATTGTGAAGTTGGCAGCACACGAAAAGCCTGCAAAAATTGCACTTGTGGAAGGGCGGAAGCCGAAGAGGGAGAGCAGAAGCTAGGACTCACAACAGACCAATTGATTAACCCTCAATCTGCATGTGGCAGTGTAAGTTGGGATCAATTTTTTTTTCTTTTTGGAGAGAGAGAGAGAGCACAGGTCTAACAATTGGGGAAATGTTTCTTGAATAATTTTATGCAGTGTGGGCTAGGTGATGCATTCCGCTGTGGCAGCTGCCCATACAAGGGTCTACCCCCATTCAAACTTGGAGAAAAGGTGAATTCACGCTGTTCCCTCGCATGGTTCTGTTACTCATTTCGTTATAAAAATTTTGTGTTTTATCGATATAAGATTAAATCGGTGACAATTGCAATTGACCCATTTTTGTTTTCTTTTTTTTTTCTAATAAACATCTCATTTTTTATGCAGATATCTCTTTCTGGAAACTTCCTCGTTGCTGATATTTGAGACAAAAAGTATTACCAAGTCTGGAATGGAATGAGTTTTCCCTTTGGAGAGTTCATCTATATATACAAGGCGCCCTTGATTGCTGTAGTCATGTATTACATTTGTTCTAGAAGGCATTTGCATATGGGTTCATCATCTAACCCTTGATAGGCATCCAAAACCAAATTGTTAGTTTCTCTCTCTCTCTCTGAAAGGCATTGCAACGTTGGAAACTTACTTATGTATCATTGAATATAAGACATTTCTGTAGAATTGTAGTCGGAAACTTCTTATCATTGAATGTAAGACATTTCTGTAGAATTGTAGTCCCACTATTCTCTCTCTGAATGTCCAACATAAATATGAACCAATGTAATGAAATGGATACACACAAGAGAATCAACACAAATTATGTAACTGTTGATGCACAAAACTGTGGTGACAAAAGTCTATACTTGTTGAGATAGAAGAACGAGAAGCCCTTGTGGACCTACTAATATTTCATTCATGAAACTTATGAGTCCAAACCAAACTACAGGGGTCACGTCCACTCCACCAACTGGTGGTATCAGTTTCCTTGTTGGGCTCAACAGAGGCTCAGTTGGTGCATAGGCTATGACATAAGGGAATTTCCCAACAGGAAGCTTCGGGTACCATGACATTACTATTCTCAATATGAATAAAAAACCAAAGGCAGAGAGAAAGGGCCCAAGAAAAGCTACAGCCAGTTTGGCTGTTGATGGGTCCAAATCTGCTATTAATGGCTTGAAATTTTGTATTTCTTCTGATACATGTTCTTCAAAAGCATAAGCCGCTGGAGGTTGAAATAGCATCGCGTGAGCCAAGACGAAGCCACAGGTATTTATTGTACCTAATTTTTGAATTGGTTTACTCCCTTCTGGATCCCTTATTTCCTGCGGCATAAAAGATGGTACACATCAGTTACAGAATTGTGTGTAAAAGATGTGTAGCTTTATGCACTGTTATCTTTATTTTCATTATAAATGAGATGCAACCAATATCGCTGATTAAAACAGAAACTATTCTTAAGTTGAAATGTAGATATTTTCAATTTCTTTTTCTAATGTCAAGTTGTGAACCGAAAAGAAAAAGGTATTCATGCACTTGGGGAGAGTGTAACGTTAATTCTCTAGGTAAAGATTTATTATTATTATTATTATTATTATTTGGTGTAGCTTCCCCGCTATGTTGTAAACCGGTATAGCTGCACCTCACAACATTTTTTTTTCATCGATGAAAGAACCTGTAACACTTTGAAACCTGCAATTCATTCTGAGTCACAAAAAATGGTTTTGAACTCCTAAAAGGTCTAATTGTGATTAATTTATCATTTAATGAAGTGAATGGTTAAGATCAGATTTTGAGTTGGCATTTTGAGATGGAGTAATTCTAGGGTTCCAAATCCGTTTCATTGAGCTGCAAATGGGTGCAAAAGTTTTAACGCTGGGATTAACAAGCCAAAACATGAGATTTGAAACCTGGTTTAACTGGTGGAACAGTACCTAACTAATGGTGAATGGGAAAGACTGTACCAACCAAAGCTGAAACCAGCATGTACTCATCATTGGAAACTTCTCTTTTCATACAAAAAAGGTATTAAAGAGCTTGATGATCCAAGGATAACTGAGCTTTCTCTCACGGATTAGGTATGGGGGTATTTTTCAAGAGAATAGCATCTGGCATTTATTCAAGAACAAGGTTTCCATGATTCGGCCGACTCACCAATTTAAATGAATCCTCTTAATACAACAGATGGATTTTGGATTCAAAATTCTAGGGAATGAAAGTCTCAGTCATGGCAAGCAGGCACATAAAATTAAATTTATGCAAGGTGTAATATTGTGATGGTTTATACCATTCATTTTAGCTAGATGTTGTAGATTTGACATGTATTTTAAAATACTATCAAAATTTAATGGTGTTGATTAGTACAGCTTCTACAAATAAAGTCATAAAGATTTAATGGTGTTGATCAGTATATCTTCAACAAATAAAGTTAGTGTGTATAAGCTTTTTCGTACTACATGCCTCTCTATTCATACAATCAAGAAGTTATGTTAATAAAATCAGTAATAGAATAACTGTTTCGTATGTCCACTTTAATAATGTTTGTGTACAGAATACATAAAAATTCCTAAAGTAAGGAAGACTGAGTCCTAGTGATAAGGAAGACTAAGTCCATAAAAAGTCAAGCCCTCTCAAACTAGGTCCTCGGACAAACAAGATGGATGGATGAGGTTCAACTCCTTTCAATTGGGGTGCTTTTGTCCTTCCCTTTTTTATTATCTTTAAATAGTTCACAATGCTTACAACAAGTTTTATTGGTAAAGTAAGCCTAAGGCAGTCAAACAAAATATCACATATTTCATTTTCAAAAATTAATAATTGGATAATTAATTAAACAGACCCCCCAATTTTCTCAAATTCGTAATTTATTAATGCACAAATCTGGGCCGCTCATCTATCTCTTTCCGTCTGGTGCTATAGGCCGGTTGGTTCATATTATCATTTTCAACTCATAAATATGAACCGCACAAGTTTCCGAAATTGAGACATTTGTATAAATTAAAATTGCAGAGTAATAAGAATACTTACAGAAAGGGATAGAAAGATTGGTGTGAAGAGGTTGAGTGGTTTAGTCCTGTATGCCAAACGCCTCAGACCTACAAGAATTCACGAAAAAAGTTTAAAAAGCTAGCTTAAAAAAAAAAAAAAAAAATGGAAATAAAGTCAGCTGAAAATGCGATTAAAATTGAACACCACACCGGTTCTAAAATGTGGAAGAGAGAGCCTGAAATTGAAAAATTGGCGAGAGAGAGTACGAATGGGATTGGTAATGGGGAGGCGTGCTGTGAGAGCCATGACTCTTGGGTCGAGAGGTTCTTTTCTCTTCGAATGAGAGAGAGAGAGAGAGAGAGAGAGAGAGAGAGAGCAGTAGTAATAGACGAGTCGACCGAACTAGTTATAGTATATTTCGTTACGAATAAGTAGGAACGAACTACCCTACCTCTTCCGTCCCTCCTTCTTACCTAC